CAGACCATGTTTCATGGATTGAAATTGCTGTGACAAACTCTTGAAAAGTTGCAATTGTTAAAGAGGAGGTTCATCACCTCTTGTAATGTATTTGCTGCAGTTACTGGAAGTGGAATGGTATTGCCTGTGTTTATGCTTATTGACTCTTGCTGAGTGCTTGCCTGAGGAACAAACAATTACCCCTGTATTACTTGCCAGATTTTACATGGTCAGGAATCCTGCTGCAAGCTCTCTAAAAGCAGATATTACCACTTGAACCACAAGTTTCCAGACTAAATAAATATAAGTCTATTTACAATATACAATTTAACCATTGCTATCAGCACATTATATTTCAGTGTCTAGGTACAACTTCTTAATAATTAATTCATCTGTTTAAAGAGACTTAAAGAGGCCCTGGCTTCTTTAAACAGCATAGACATTTGGCCTGTTTAAAAAGGCAGTGAAAGTGTTTGCTTTTCCTTCCTAGTTCAACCTTTCTCGATAGCATTTTATGGTGTTTGCGTCTCTGAGATTGGAAAACCTTGAAAGCTTTGTGTGCACTGATGTGAGCCCCCAAGCAGAGCAATGGGTGTTTCTCTAAGCAAATTGCAAGCACAATCTTGTGGAGTAATTTCTCACCACTCTAGGTCACTTGTATGCTCAAGGCCCCTTGTTTGTAGAAAATCTCACCCCTTGCTGCTGTCAGACACACAGTGACAAATACCTTTCACCTCACTTTGGTTCATATTTTCCTCCGTCCAATTAAAACCATAATTCTGTTGCTTTTAAGTTCTGCTGGTGTCTTCAGAAAAGGCTGAAAAAACAAAGAAGCAGGATATAATAATAATAATCCTTGCATTTGATATAGCGCTTTTCACGTCGGGAGGACGTCCCAAAGCGCTTCACAGAACACACTGTAAAGTGAGTTGACTGTATATTTGTGGGCGAACGCGGCAGCCAATTGCGCACAGCAATGTCCCACAAACAGTCGTAGATTGAAAATGACCAATTTATTATTGTTTTTGGTTTTGGAGGGATTATTATCAGGCTCTGTGTGGAGTAAGGAAACTTGCCCAAGGTTTCGCCCTCTGCCTGGAATTGAACTCAGGTCTCTCGCTTGGAAAGCGAGTGCTCTAACCACTGAGCTACAGGACTCCACAAATATACGTGGAAAACGAATGTTTGTGTAAGTCTCCAAAGATTCAATCACACTATTTATAGATAAAGTGTTTGGAGATTTTGAATAAGCGTTTTTGCACTGTAATTACAGCCATTTCTCTGTGATGGATTGAGCTCAAGCAGCCTATCTGTGAGCATTTCCTCAATGGCTGTGGGACTTTACTTCAATGAGCCACTCTGCCTCCACCGCCAGCTCTGGGCAAGAAGAACTAGATGGTGGAACCATTAATTATTCAGGGCAAAATGAGTTAGTTCAGAACTGGAGGATGATCACTACACATTTGGACAGAAACAGCTGGCAATGAAGATAATCCCTTGCTCTAAGGACAAAAGCAAACACAACAATTTAAATTGTTGCAAGGCCTTTTATGTCAGGAGCACATCTCAAAGTGCTTCATGTAGTTGAGTGGATGGGGAGATGAGCTGGGAGATTGGGGTGGGGGAAAATCATGGTTATAATTCTAAGGCAGGTTTTGAAGGGGAGGGAAGGAGGGGGTGAGGTGGACGGTCTCCGGGATGGAGTTCCTGATAGTTGAGGTGAGAATGCCGGAAACTTGCCTGGCATTGGTAGGATTGATTGGATGGGGGACGTGAAGCAGGTTGGTGTTTGTTGAACAGAGGGAGCAACTAAGGTAGGAGTGCACAGAGGAAGAATGGAGAGATTAGAGGCCATGGACAGATTTGCAAGTGAGGACTAGGATCTTGAATCCGATGTGCTAGCGGCTGGTGAACAAATAGAGGTGAATAAGGATTGAGGACAGTGGGCTTGGTGTGGGAGAGGATACAAAAAAAACATCCAACCAGAAGCACTAAGAGTATTAAGGTTATCAACCCTAACAGTGCTTATTTTAAGGCATCAAAACTTCATCTTTTGTGGGGTTCTGGGCATTTCGTTCAGGATCCAGTGCTTAGCTTGAATTTAAAGAGAACCAATCAATGTTTCATGTGATAGGAATATAGTAATCAGCAGAAGTAATCAGCCTTCAGCCAAAGTTCTGCATTGAATCACAATAACTGTCATAGGAGCACTGCACTTGTATGTCAAGGGCACAGTTGTTTGGCCAAAGCCTTATTCCTGGATGGTCGTAATCATCCTGTTATGCTCAGGCCAATTAAGAGATTAATACCTGCTTAGAAGCTCCAGACTTTTCAGGAGGGTTTTAATGGTTCAACATGCTTGTCCAGCACGATGCCAAATACATTCTCTTGCATCAGATGGTAAGAACGAGCTCTCCTAACTCAGTGTCCTGTGAGTGGCAGCAAATTCAGGATAAGCCAGCCAGACAGTCTCGAGCAATGAGGGACAAACTCCCAATGTGAAAGGCGCAGTATAAATATCAACCGTATTTTGTATAATCGCCTGGTAGAACAGGTCTTGTAATCTTTGACACATCTGCCCATCAAGTGGGTGGAGAGAGAGAGGTGGGGGACATACCTCTTTGCTTTGTTGGAGGGACCAAGGCTTCCTTGCCTCAGGGTCCTGCCTTGTCATTATCATTCCTGCAGTTGAATCAATAACCTCCTCTTTACCCTGCAACCAAAAATAAAAATCTCTCTTTCAATTCTCCAAAGGCCCTTTTTTTTCCCCTATCATCTTAATTAATTCCAGTATAGCAGGAAGGATTTTTTTTCCGTTTACAATCTCTCAAAGGGGAGATAGTTCTTGAGGGTCTTATCACTGAACCTTAGGGTAAGAGCTTCCTCTGATCGGAAATGCTTGAGAATGCACTGCAAGGGAGTCATCCAAAACGTGGTAACAGGCAAAAGTTCTGTGCGTCATGTGAGTGAAAGGTTAAAAGTATTAATTTTGTACCAGAGTAAACTAACATACTTTGAGACACCTCAGATTTTAGTATTGTGTTTCACCTCATTTAATGATTGTTTATCACCCAACATAAAAAGAATAATCCTTGCATTTTCACGTCAGAAAGAAGTCTCAAATCATTTCACAGGCTTTACTGTAGAGAGTACTGACTGTGTATTCTGTAGGCGAACACGGCAGCCAGTTTGCACAAATAATGTCCCTTGTTCAGGAGTTTGGGTTAACGAATAATGATGTGAAATACATGTTAAGCTTTGTTGATGATTGGTGAAATAATGATAGAGATGTTGAGATTTTGATCACAGTTGGGTTATCTGAGGATGGAACCCAATGCTACAATTCTCAGGGAGAGAAGGATTTGAAGGTCAAGTGGATGTGCACTAGCTGGCGGCCATTTGAAGAAGATTAATAATCCTATCCTGGGAGCAAAACACTTGCCCAGTCTCAATCGAGAAGGAATTTTCTGCTGCTGAATGTAGTGATGCAAAACTTTCACTTTTAGCAAAGGAAGAATGACTAACACTTCTCGATCCTTTTTCTTTGCAACACGAATGGTTTCCCGTTGACTTTTTCTGCTGTTTTAATTTATTTTCATTGGATTATTTGTGTTTCAACAGGTCTCATGTACTGTAGATGGGGATTGATTGAAGTGAGTCATTGACAGTTGCAGCGCAACACTGATATTGTAGGCGAAAAGTTTATTGCAAATATCAGCAGAAAGGCTTACTTGTAGACAAATAACTGAATAAGCCTTTCTCTTAAGTGCTCTTAAGTCTGCTATGTTTTATTTTTGTCAATTTATCAATATACCATCTATGAGTTTGACATTCTTGTATGATCCAGGCAAATGAATGGCTTGTATAATATTGATGTCCACATCAGAATAGCCTTTTCAAGTAATTTTGTATGGTGGGGCTCTGTTTGATCCCGAGCTGAATTTCAAACCTACATCTAATCCACAGCCAGCAAGGCTCTCTTCCACCTCCAGAACATTGTCCACCTGCCTTCTTATCTCACTACCTCCGCTTGTCCACTTTCATGATTAACCATTCATCATTGCCTCTAGGATAGATTTCTTCAGTGTTTTCCTCACTGACCTCCCCACTGCTCTACCCGTCACGAGCATCAACTTATCCAGACCTGCTCAGTCAGAAATGTGTCCTGGGCAAGATTCTAAACTCCTCTGCCCACCACAGATCTATAAACGTACCTTTTAAATTGGGCCTCTAAATTTCTCCCGATTCTCCTCGCTCAGTGTCTCCAGTTTCCATTGTTAAGCTCTATAATATGTTCCTTGCTCGAATGGTGCTATATATATAAATACAAGTTATTATTGACGTTTTTGTAGTTCCAATAACCTTGGTTTAGTTTTGTAAACGTAAAGAGATGTACTGATAAACTAGATCCGTGCTCTTTGTAATTGATATCACAATCATTTGAATACTTTGCCAGAAGTCATTTCAGGTTGATATTGTGATCCTAATGGTGCAGACCTCTTTATTCAGACACAAATCTCCAAACAACAACAAACAAAAACTGCTTTGTGTTCTCCTGTTTGTGCAATCTGTTTTCATGGCTTGCTTCACTACTACCAACACAGTGAGCTGTATCCAAGATTGTTAGCTGGAAGATACAACCATGTGTTCTTGATACACCTTTGCATGTTCCAGGCAAATGTTTCTCATACGAAGTAGTGTTTTTTTACCTGCAGCACTGTGCTTTACACACAGTCACTTTGTGCCATTGCATTAGTAGCATGCTTTCTGTAAGTTTCCTTTGTTTGAGTAGAATGATGATATTAACCGGATGAGTTAATACACATCTTTCAATAGAGGCACTTTTTTTTTACCATTTTAATTCCTGAAAATATTCCGAGCGTTTTCCTTTCTTTTTTTTTTCCGTTCTGATTGCGCACCGTGCCTTTTATTGAAAGTTCCTTTTGTATTGTCACCCATAAAAGTGAGTGAAAGTATGAGAAATGAGCCTGATTGCATGGTTCATTTGTTCTCCTTTGTAGAGCCAAGCCGAGGCACACTACAAAGGCAGTAAACATGCCAAGAAGCTCAAAGCACTGGAGGCCACGAAAAATAAGCAGAAATCTGTTTCCGCCAAGGACAGCACAAAGGTCATCATCACTACAACCACTGCAATCACTCCCAACAGCTCTGAAAAAACAGGTTNAAAAAAACTTTTGTTCTTCTCATTCACGTACTTCCTTTTCTTTGTGTCTCTGTACGTTTGCATGATACTCTTCATTTCTGCTCCTATTTGCTCCATGTACTATTAATGTTTGGCTTCGTAAATGAATGTCCACTTAATTTATGAAATGAGGATGGAACAAGTGACATTTCCACTCTGGTTTGAATGAATGAACCGCAAATGACATTTGTTCCATTCTGGCGATTGGCTTGATTGTGTTTAATGAAGTATTTTTCTTTCCACTGAAATGACATGTTGTATTTAGCCTGTGGTATTGTAGTTACACATGTAAAATCACCATGGTTCAATGCTGCACCCATCACAACTAACAGTGGTAACATTCTACTCTTTGCTTCTTTTTCTCATCTCGTGCATTGGATTAACCAGGCGATTAGAGAGACAGAGATAAATAAAGCCTGTGGAAAAGGTGGCGATTGATGTATAATATGTTGTACTGAAAGGACAATATGGTTGGAGCTAGCACAGTTCCATTAACACATGAATAAGAGTCCATCATTGCAAGTTCCTTCAGTCAGAGTGGTATCATTTACTACAGATGGTTTCAGTTTTAATCCATGTCATTTGGCACGGCTTGAGTTTATCATGAGAAGCACCTTGAGGGTTTATCGTGAGAGTCAAAGTATTTTGAGTGACGTATGCATCAAATGTATTTCCCGCCAACATTGAAAAATAAAACTAACTATTGTCCTTTTTTTTAAATTCTGAAAAATGTTAGTTTGCCAGCCTCTATATTTGCCTTTCATCCAAAATTGTACCCGCCATTTAATTCTAAAAATCTGTAAGTGAAAGCCTACGCATTTTAATTTCCAATGACACGTTTAAAGCTTTTTTTTTTAAAAGAAGACTACATTGTAACAGAATTTTAATGTTGTGCTCCAATACTCCCGTCCACGCACGTACTGGTTTACATGATTTTCTAAGCAAAGCATCTGGATTTGCATGCTTTTGCCTGAAGGCTTTTCGTTCTTGTTTCTCAGAACAGTGCACAGCTGGTGGATAGCTCAGTATTGTTCGTGGCAGCATCCATTTGTTAGTCAGAAAAGTGAACCTATGAAGAATTAATAATTACGTGAGTTCCCATCACTCCACATATTAATGCCCGCCAAACTCCACTCAAATGCCTAAAGACAACAAGAAGCAGGAAGAGAGTACTAATTAATGCAGCCAATGACATGTGTGGCTTTATCTTGATTGCTTTCTCATTTGTTTTTGCTTGTAAATTATTTTGTTTGAACATCACCTCGGGTGTAATCCAGATATATTTCCATCCCACTTCATAAATTCCTCTTCGCATCCCAGAAGTAAAACATGCAAGCTACGTGTCACTATGCGGGATGCTTTCTGACTATCTGTCCCTTTACAACTACCAAAATAATCCTTGCGTTTCATATAGCACCTTATCACTTCTTCGAGACGTCTCAAAACGCTTCACAGAATATACTGTAAATTGAATTGACTGTGTAGTTTGTGGGCGAAACGCAGCAGCCAGTTGCGCACAGCAGTGTCCCACAAACAGTCGTGGATTGAGTGACCAATTTTTTTTTTAAAACGGAATTATTACCCCCGGAAAAGCGATCCACCAATTGACTAACAACCGGGTTCCTCTTACTGCTAGGTAAACAGAGGTGTGTGGAGTACAGAAACTTGTCCAACGTTTTGTCCTGAAACTATCCATGAGTTTTGCATTCGTCTGTAGCACCATATATTAAGATTTGAAATGTTTCTTCAGTTGTCGACATCAGTTATTGCATCATTGGTCATTGCAGACGGGTGGGGAATACAGAATCTCTGCTGTATCACATCCATTTCTGACCCTGAGGATTTAAATTGTAGTTTCTGTATTTTTTGCATGGAGTATTTCTCCTATTTGAAATATTTCCATCAACTGTTTTCGATTTAGCTGCAAGTGGCGATATCCAGCCTGGCAGACAATTAATAACAATAATCCTTGCATTCGATTTAGCACCTTATCATTGCCTTCGAGACGTCTCAAAGCGCTTCACAGGATGTACTGTAAAGTGGATTGACTATTTATTTTTAAGGATGTGAAATTCCTTAACAAATGTCTTACTCACCTGAATATTTATTAAACCAAAATCACTGGATCTGGAACTTGACGAATGCTCTGAGAGATGGCCTGCATTTCTTTCATATTCTTGTTAACAGCTTCCCATTGTTTGGAAACTCTCAATAAATAATTAATAATAAAGCACCCAAAATCCTTTTCCTTCTCCACCTCTGGTAATGGATACCCCTTTTTCATGTTGACATGTTTACTGCTTCCTGTCCAGCAATGCACTATCTTACATTTGTGTACATTAAAATCCATTTGCTGCTCCTTATCTCATCTGCTTACTTGTACTTGATCTTCTTGAATGCAGTATTTCTTCTTTATATTGATAACCTTCCCACATCAATCTCTCGAATTACTTTTGGTCCAACAATTGCTTTCGTTTCTTTACATCTTTTCAATAACTCCACTTAGACGTCAGATTATTTTGCATCGATTTCATTATAACGGTTTCATGTGGAGGTGCACATGATGATGCATTTTGATGCATCCATAAAATCTGCAGGAAGGTCAGATAAGTTGAGAAGAGTTTAGAAAATGTGACTGCCAATCCGTTTTTCTGCCACGGTGGAAACTTGAGAACTCAAAATAGATTAAAATGTCCAAGAGTATGTTTTAAAGTGAAAGATGATTGACATGTGAAACAAACTGCCATCACACTTGGTGGAACAAGGAACTATGAAAGGCTTCAAAAAGGAACTCAAAAAGGATCAAGGAAATAGAAATGTTCCTGGAAATCAAACGGATTCAGGGCTATTTAAGTTATGTGCTAAAAGAATACTTTGGGATGTTGAACGGTCATACCAGAGAGACCAATGGTTGACTCCTCCCTGAAACTGTTACTGTGGCATAAAAAGAGAGGTGAACCACAGAGAAAGACAGCAATGTCAGCAGTTTGGATACAAATTATTCAGGAAAAGTGAGATAAATCCAGCAAGGTCTATTACTTTAGATGTGAATTGATTATACAGTTAAGAAACTGTTCCTCTTACCCCTTTTGTGTGAAATCTTCAACAGTCAGAAAGCAATTGAAAAGCTAATCATTGTGAAGGCTGGCAAGTTAACGTTCTGCAGTAGTACTGTGGAATAAAAACTAATGCACACATCTTGTTTATTTGATGTTGTTTATGACACCCAGAGTAGATTTACAATACCAAAAGGGATAACGTAATGACCTCAACCAATTAGACATACTGAATTTATATATACCGATTGCATAGTTTTATTCCTATATATTGAAATACCTGTAACCTATTGAGATACCGCCATGCTTTATAGGGTGACATTATTCTGTGAACGGACAGCAGTATAAAGAAAACTATTCAATCGGCTTTTATTAATTAGTGTAGACCTTCTAGCACGTTTATTCCGTGTGTTTCTCAAAGAGTCTAGAAATGGTGAATTGAGGATTCTTTAACATTGGCATTTTTCCATTCTCTCAGCAAATTGGGCCTTATGAGCCTTTGTGCAAATTGTACAAAAATGTAAGAAGGCCATTCTTTTCTTTTTAATTACATGTGTCTGCTAAACCTTGGCTGAACCCACATCTCCCAGGCTCTAGGCAGGGATTTGAAGTTTAATTTTTCAACTTTTGTTTAATCTCACCAGTAGAAAATTAATATTACTTGCCACGTTATTGTTGTCCAGTAATTCTTATCTATTGAGCTTATCCTCAGTTTTTCATCATATACTTTGGTTCTGATGTTAGTAAACAAACAAAGAAAGAAAGGTTGATCTCATTTTAAAAAAAGTGGCTTGTTACTGTGATGGGAAGTGGTATGGTGGGTGTTTTGGAGTGTTGGGTTTAGATGGGCCAAAGGGCCTTCTACATCGAAGGCCAATCTTGTGATATTAACTTAAGAAGGAATTTGTTTCAAAGCTGTCACAACAGACGGTAATCAATTACACAACGGATCTCATTCCAAGATGTGGTAATGATGATTTTGTGTTCACCTATATAAGGATACGACCTTTACAGTTGTGTGTTGTGGTTGGTCTTTGAACTGAAGTGTTAATTCCACCAGTGCTTTTTATTGTAGGGTAAGGAAATCTATGCTCAGTTTTACTCGTGTGATATTGTGTATATAGAGCAGGCTATTGAACCGGTCCTGCTCGGATCTGGAAAGAACGAATTACAAAACTGAAAGAAACTGATACGCATCAATAAATACGCTTTGACGGCTCGCAATACAGCAGATGGCACTAGTGTTAGGCACACTTCCATACACAAAATAATTCACTCCACAGTGTATTCTGTGAAGTGCTTTGAGACGTCTTGAGGATGTGATAAGGTGCTATATCAAATGCAAACATTACTATTATTACTTCTGCAAGTGACTCTGTTGAGTCCTTTCTAACTCCTTTTAATATTCTCAATCCAGTATAATATGGCTCCCCACCCCCACTCTCCATAGCTATGGTCAGAACATATGAAGATTCTTGCCTCTTCAGTTCCTTCCTATGAAATGGTCATGCTCAAACCTGGACATTAATGCTGTTCCATCACCCTCGTTTAAACCTCCTGAGAATCTATGGTTCATAATTCTAAGATGTAAGCATGAATTATGACAAGCCTGTTTCTTGTATTCAGTATCTCCCCTTTGATTTTAATTTATTAAAAAGTTAATTAAAATTGTAAACTGTTCATTCCAGATGTTTTGTGAACATTTGACATAACATTCACTTGCTGTGGTATTTGAGAATTGGTGGTATTAATTGTTCATAGATGTGCACCTAATCTTGTCAAAAACTGTTTCTAAGCAGACTGGTGTATGGGAATCTCCCTTGAAAGTTAATGAGGGACGTTTCCCTCAAGGAACATTCAAATTATCTCCTGGGCATGAAATTTAGTAAATAAAAATAGTTGTTATATTTCAATGTTAAATTATACATAGACGAAAACTGTAACCATTCCAGATACTACATGCCAGTTTCTTGAATAATAATCAGAACCAGAATTCTGAACCGATTCCCCCTGATCCTGCAACTGGTTTGCATCAAATTTTATTTTCACTTGCAATTCAGCGTTCATTTGAAATCACCACCTGATATTTATTTTGATTACATCTCAAACTTGTCCAGTTTCCAGATAAAACGCTGTTTATGTTACGTTCTGCCAATAAAGGATTACATTTTTATTTTTAGCGCTTGATTCAGACTGAGTTGTGCCAACTCATTAAGCTGATGCAGCTGAACATAAACTCTTGTCATTGGAAGGACTGTGAAGTTGCACAGGAGGGATGACACAAAATTTCGTTCATTCACTAAATCGTTTGGCAGATTGTTCGTATCCACTGATGTCGGTAAACTAGAGAGGTTATTGTTCTATGTATCGGTATATTTATGAAGTTGTCATATTATTTCACTGCCTAAGTAAATATTTAGATCTTATTTTCAGTATTTGTTAATGGGATTCATGCGCTCCGAAACACCGTCCGGCCTGAAGGGCGCTATATAAATACAAGTTGTTGTTGTTGAGAAATCTCATTAGAATTCCTGTGGAAACACCATTCTGGACATAGGTAACATTGGAACAGTGTTACGTCATGCCTACTCATGGGAATTCTGGTTACCATAAGGAGATCCCCCTTCCCAATTTATGACTAGGGTACTTTAATCAGGAATCCCATTAAGAAATACCACAAGTTAAACCCCATTATTTCAGCACTTAAATGAAACACAGCTGTTCTGCCCTTAACATGGAGCATTTCTGAAAAAACAAATAATTAAACTCGTCTTTCCCCATACTGTCATCTTAAAACATCTTCACCTGACATAATCCACCACACAGTTATGCTGTGTGTTAATAATAATATTCTGGTTCGGAGCCTAATTGTGATGATAGAATAATGCTATTCATTCCTTATAAACCATTACTGATTTTCTCTTTTTAATGTCTCTCAATCTGAAAATATCAGGTTCAAGTGAGTTTGTTCAAGTGAGTGATGGGGAATCAAGTTCACCTTTATAATGCCTTAGTTTGGTGAAGTCCTCCCGACGTGAAAGGCGTTATACAAATGTAATGTTGTTGTTGTTTGTCGGCTTTTGTTTCTTTTTCTGTTGCGTTAATAATCGTTGAGTTAATGCAGAGATTTGCTGTTTAGAAGACATTTAAATCTTGTCCAAGTGGGGAAAAGAATGGGATGAGGCGGGAGAGCGAGCGAGATGGGGAGAGAGAGAGAGAGAAATAACATAGATAGCACTATGCACACGTTACCACTGTAGCACACTGTAGTGAGCCGTCCATAGATTAGTTTTGTTATAAATGGCCGTCAAAATTAATCTTTACCTTGAAAAACAAAGATCATTGTATAAAGTTTGCGAAAGTTTTATTATCATTGATTATACGAAGAAACGACAAACAGTAAAATCCTGAAACCTTTGACAAACAAATCGAAAAAAAACTTTAGTTAGTTATTTCAGAAGTGGAAGCAATGCAGTATAAATCCTTACTTTGAAAAATGTGTAATTTAATTGACAATTCTTTACCTGTTGCACTTTGGTCCACAAGGTGATGAAGTGTTCGCAGTCTGAGACAAACAGCATAAATAATCCTGGTATTCAATTTAACTGGGAGGTCAAAACACAAAAGCACAAATATAAATGTAACCAATTAATTGCCTGGAAAAAGGGGAATTATTTTCCCACAATCTTGCTACCTCCCCGACCTGCTTGAAGGTGCTGATTTGTAACTGGTGACGTTCCACAGGCAGTGGCTACCGTCCAGTAACTCACCCAAGTGATCATTCTTCATCCACCAAGAGGCATTGCCATCATGATAAATGTACCAGACGTAACATCCCCCCCAAAAAAGTTACAGAAATTATTTTTTCAGGTGTGATAGAATTATTATTATTATTATGATGCATATTTTGAAAGCTCTGAATGATATCTTTACTTTAGCAGTTAGTATGTAAATACACATGGATTTAGTTTATAGAATGTTTGGCCCATTTATTAACACTTATCTCTGCATCACAAGATTGATGTGGTTTGAATCCCACATCAGGAATTGAGCTCATATACAGTATGAAATGAGACTGAAGTACAGTATTGCAGGAGCGCTCCATTATCAAAGCAGGTGCCATCCTTTTACTAAGACATAAGTTCTCCTGGTAACTTGGCTGATATTCCTGCCTCGTACAAATTTCCCCAAATCAGTTGAATGAATTATTCGCCTCATTGATGTCTGAGACAAATTAACTGCCACCTTTTCCTATGTAAAAACAGTCAATCCAAAGTAATTAATTGTGCTGTGCTCTTGTAGACTGTTCAAGTGACGAGACGCTGTATCTAATCCTAGTGTTATTTTATTATTTCAATTATTGAATCAATTATTTTTTTTCCCTTCATTTAGCAGATGAAGTAATGCCGGCATCCAACAGTGTAACTGTGAATAATCTACCGTTGCCTACAAGTGTAATCCCTGAACGGTCTAAACTGCCACCAGCTGTAGAAACAACTGGAAATGTGAATGAAATTGCAACAAAACTTGAGATATCAACAGCAACAGCGAGTGTTGATGGAGCTGCATCTATTGCATCGACTTCAACTGAGTCAGAAGAGGAAAAAGCAAAAAAGCTTCTGTACTGTTCACTATGCAAAGTAGCTGTGAATTCACTGTCACAGCTGGAAGCACACAATACAGGTTGTTACCCAATTAATAATTAGTTTGTCAGCCAAAAAAATTCCTGCTACTCGTTACTGTTTTACAGTTTAATTGATCCATCATAACTCTTTTAGGAGTTAAAGAGGGACAATATTTCTTATGTCAGAACAGCACTAATACCTTTTTGTTTGTTGTTGCAAAGTGCTTTTCTCCCTGGCAGAGTGGTCAGTTACAGCATAGTGCCATCCTCATGAAAACTGAAATGGACATTCCCAGTTCCTGATGACACTGATGCAAAATGAGCACAAACGTGCCTTTCATCAGGTTGGCAAAAGCTTTTCTTTTAAAAGAAAATCTCTATGTGCATAGCCGCTGTAAGAGCTATATCAGCCTTTTGCTGTTCTTTTAAACATAATTGCTCAGTGATTAGAGCACTCGCAAGCGAGACACCTGGGTTCCTTAAGTTTCCTTACTCCACACACCTCTGTTTACTTAGCAGTAAGTAGGAACCCCGGTGTTGGTCGATTGGCGGATCATTTTCCGGGGGTAATAATTCCTTGAAAAAATAATGATAAATTGGTCACTAAATCCACGATTGTTTGTGGGACGCTGCTGTGTGTAATTGGCTGCAGCGTTTTAATAATCCTTGCATTTGATATCGCGCTTTTCACGTCTTCTAGATGTCTAATTTTGCCCACAAAATATACAATGAATTCACTTTCTAGTATATTTTATGAAGCGATTTGAGACGTCTTGAAGATGTGATAAGGCGCGATATCAAATACAAGGATTATTATTATTATGATCATTATTATGATTATTATTAATATATATATATATCCATGAATTTATTGCTTTATCTAGCAGGATGCAATTCCAGGGATTTTCCAAATAAAACTGTGAGATGAATTATAATGAAGGAAGAAGTGGGTTATGTTCTCACCTGTTGTACTCTATGGCTGTTTGTGACAAGAACTGAATCTGTTTGCGCTCAGATGCCACTATCGGTCCCAGAGCTAAGGCCTTTGGGGGTTCAATTCACAATCTATTTTTTTTTATTACTGGATGTGTGCAGCAGAGCATACACTCCATTTTTTTCTCCAACCCCAATCTCCGACTTTCTGTGCTTCCACTTCAGTCTGAAAGCTGCTGTTATCAGTTGCCAATCATAGGGATCAGCACAAAAACTTTCATTATGTGGGAGCATCATTTTAGCCTTTAGCATTAGCCTTTTCTCTCATTCTATGGGGGCATAAGTAATGTTTAAACTTTGAGTAGCTTGCCCTGTCTTTCTTTTGCTGGAGATGGTGAAGGAGGGGTATTAAATTCCTGCACAGATGCCAACAGCGGCTGGATTGAAACCAGTTGCTGAAAAAGAAGCGGATTCCTACAAAAAAAGCATTGGCTACCTAAACTGCGGAATAGAAAATTCCTTGGACCCAAATGTACTCCTGTATTCCCCCAGCACCCAATCTGATTCCCCTCTTCTCGTAGCATATGGAAACTATGTCATTCTAAATCACTTAAATAGTTAATTTGTAGAAGAAAAGCAGAAATTGGTAATAATAAATTTGTTGTATTGCCAACAGGCTCCAAGCACAGAACAATGGTTGAAGCACGTATTGGAGCCGGTCCCATTAAATCTTATCCCAGACCGGGATCAAAAGCTAAACTTCCAAATGGCACAAAGGGTTCTGGACTGCAGAACAAGACATTTCATTGTGAAGTGTGTGATGTTCATGTCAACTCAGAAATTCAGCTTAAACAGGTAAATGTACAAAGCAAATGTGTCTGAGAATGGGCATCTACAGTACTATTCATCGTTTCCTTTTCTCGTTATGTTGTCCAATTGAATCTATATTTGATCTTTTCCAGCATATTTCCAGCAGGAGGCACAAGGACAGAGTAGCGGGGAAACCATTGAAACCCAAATATAGTCCCTACAACAAACTCCAACGCAATCCAACAATTTTGGCAGTAAGTCTGTTCAAGTTCTCCTTCAACAAAATATTGATTCAGGTTTGAAATTTGCCAGGACCTAGCTTTTTTTCAGAGCAATATTGTTTCGCAAAACTTTGGTTCACTGGAATGCTTGCTACTTCCAGTGACCCGAGTCTGCTGTTAATGTTACTATTATTCCAGAACTCTGGAAGAATGAAGATAGTTTGTGGCTCAGAATCAAAGCTCATGTTAATTGAAATCATTCCAAAATAACTCATTTGTGAATCTTTTGCCTGTTCACAAAATGTTTATTGGTTTGCAGAAATGTAATTTATTTGCAAATTGCTGATGTGTTGATTTTTTGGGGCGAGAGTGGAAATCATCCGTTTTGCAGCCAATAATGGAAAATGTGTTTCATAAAATAACTAACTCGCTAAACCATTATGCAGTTCATTATCTGCGAAGCGCTTTGAGACATCTTGAAGACGTGATAAGGCGCTATATCAAATGCAAGGATTCTGATCATTATTATTAGTCGTATTAAATGCACCGCGAATAGTTGCTGCAAGAGAGTGATTCCATACAAACAACTTATCAGTTGAAATGATGCATTGCGCTCCAAAATGCCTTTAATTGTTCACTTTAGGCTACTGATGTTGAAATATCAAATCACTGACACATCTTTTTCTTTTTCTTTTTCACTTTTTCTTTTTTTTTGTCTTTTTTTCTCGTCTTTCTGGTGATCAGGCAAAATTAGCATTTCGAAAGGATTTACTGAAACCCTTGCCTCCCGGATTTCTCACGAATCCCTTCGTGGCCGCAGCAGCTCTGACCTCTCCACTTGCTCTCCACCCACGCCCTGCTACCTCACTGTTTCAGGCCACGGCATTGCAACCTGCCCTCCTGAGGCCAGCACCTGGACCCATGCGCCCATCACCCAGCTCCATTCTCTTTGCGCCTTATTGACTCTGAGGTTATAGTGGGACAAGACCAGGCCAGTCGAGATGGTGGAACGGGCATAGCTTTTGGTTATCTTCCTTGTGTTTTGTCCATGCTGTGAAGTTTGCTGACCTATATGACCATCACAGGATCGATCTTCCATGGAGAGTTATGATCAAAGTGCTGGAATTATGAGATTTTTTTTAACTGATTTACCAAAACCCCCATCCGGTTACAATTTACAAGGGAACCTTTGTGGGGAATGTTACCCTCAAACGCTCTTACTTGTTTTTAAAGTGGAGTTGAGTCTGTCCACGGATGGAATTCATCTACAGACCAAGAGCAACTATAAATTGATTCCTGCTGCAGCAGACTTCAAATCGAGGGTCTTCCTGACAAAGAGATGTGGAAAGGAGCCACTTTTTTTTGTTGACGTAAAACGAACATCTTCTGGTGCATAAACGTAACGCAGTGTGTGGTAACTTGTGAACAACGAATCTGTAGTTTTAACACAATGTCGTGTTGTTGTCAGGGATTGTGAAATGCTGTTAACAGACCTGAATCTGATACTGTTGTAATAACTCGTGTAAGTAATAGAACTGTTTCAGGTCTAATTTAAAACATGAATGGTAATTTATGTTTAGTTGCGGTGTAGTTGCTTGCCATCGTCCCCTTAAGAGCATTTTGTGAACCTTACTTTTGCTTTTTTTTTTGTTCACTTGTTTTTTTTTAGTTTTGCCGGTGTTTAACACTCTCGCAAATTCATAACGTGTGTACGGTTCTTGCTCATGAGATATAGTGGCGATTAATATATTTTCACATTTGCTTTTCTGTGCTCAATTTTTTTAAAACTTGTTTGGTAGCATTTTTGCCAGTTTTTTTTTTTGCTGCTAAATAATGTGAACGATGCGTTTTGAAGTATCAGCTCAGTGTATTGCACAATCTACGATAATTCTCTTGCATTACCTTCAGCGAGAAATATTTGGGTCCTTGTTTTTCACAGTCTTTGAAAATCTCTTCTGCAGACTTGCAGACTTCTTCCATTGTCATGTTTAGCTGTAATGGTGTTGCATTAATTTGTAGCACCGCGATGCAATAATGTACAGAAAATAAATAATTTTAGAAGAATAATTTTAGGCTTTATCGAAAGTGTTGCAATACCATCTGCCTTGGGGAATGAGGCTACCGAGATATGCAGTGCATAAAACAAACCATGTTGGTGTTTGTATCTTTCAGTACTTGAAAGGAGATACGCACAAGAGAAATTCTGAGGAGTATCAATCAACTGTTAGTGGCTTCCATCAAGTACTCCTTGTGAAAAGCTTAATATGTGTGGAAATAAACCTGTCTGTGTACCATTTCAGAAATGATTAATTTTTTCAATAAATGACTAAGTCTATTATATGGATAATTGTTCTACTGAAATGTTTCTTTTAATTTTAAAATGTCTTGCACATCCGCCAATGCTAGGAACTCCTTAAAAATAACCAAAAAGCAACAATCTATAAAAATTAAACATCTTATTGTTGCAGTATGTCAGAAAAAAATCTTCTGGTGTGTTGATTCCCTCTGTAATTAACACAAAGTATAACAACCTCTGCCTATTCTCAACTTTAGTACTGCTCTTTATTTTAAAGAGAACTCTTAATTCATGGCCTGTGGCTCAAAGGTGCATGGCATATTATTTTACACTCCCAAGGCATGTCTGTTCCTTCATCTGAACATCTCCAGCCAGTTTAATGAATTGCATGTTGTTAGAATAATGGTTCACTGGCTTGGCCAGTCAACATCCGTGAGCTTGTGCTCCTCAGTAATTGAGAGAAGATCACAACGGTGGCATGATAATAGCATTTGACTTAAATACAGGAATATTCAGCAGAAATTTACAGTAGCTGATGGTAATCTGCTCATTTGAAAAGGCAGAACCAGGGTAAAATATTGCTGATTCCTTCACTGGTGGGTGGTGAGGAATGCACATGAAAATTAACTGAATGAAATAAATGATTTCTTATCAAATCAGCTTACATGAATTCTAAATTTCCATTCCCCAAACAAGTCAGATCACGAGACTTCAAGCTGCAGGATTTTCAGGTTTCTGGACAATTACTACAGCTTCTCAAGTCACTACACTAATTTAACGATTTGTTCATTCTTCTGCCAAATGTCTAGATCCCCTATTCTGAATCCACCTTCAAAATCATGAAGAGACGATGGGGTGATCTGTGAAGCTGTTTCAACACAGCCACACCCAAAAATGTTGAGAGCTGGGGATTGTTGCCCAGTGTAAAAACGAACAACTTCCAACATTGCTCAGGTTCGTTAGAAATGATTGTGATTCCAATTCCTACTATCTTTCACTAAGAGTGTTCAAAAAGAAATTAATGTGTAGATCTCTTCTTGAGCCTTTGGTCTGTGAGATCTGAATTTGACTCTTCAATTCAAATTCATAGTATCATAAAAAGGATACCAGAGTCTAAAATAATTATAGTTTCTGAAAATTAAAGCACCATGTAATCAGACCCTGGGAGCCTCTTTGTTAATGTAGCTGTGTGATTGCATTTTTCACAAGCAGGTTTGAATACGAAATGTCAAATTTCTTTGCGTAATAAAAATCACTATATTATAATCTCATCTCTAATATGCCTGTGTTAGTTGCTCTTCAATTCAGGTAAGTACTTTGACACAGCTCTTTTATGTTACTGGAGATGAATATTACACGGTGTCCTAAGTTTTACCGAAGACGTTTATGTAACTGAAATAATGGTGGTAAATTGGACTTTGTATTCAAATTTCTCATAATTGTAGAAATTGTAGGCATTCATCATATTGAGCCTATGCTGGTACAAGCCCATCCACTGTACTTGTATTCCCCCTCCCCAAAAAATAATAACTGAATCCCAATTCCCTGCACTTTCCTGTATTTTTTTTATATTGGTTCTCTAAAAAAAAAGATTTGTCTCTGCAACATCTCATTAACTTCGCTTCCCTACTGTTTCACTGGAAAAATGTCACCAGAGTGAGAAATACTTTTGTCTGATGAAAAGCCTGTGTAAATGAAGCAAGCAATTTAGAGAAGTTGTCACAGTATTGTGTAACTAATCATGGGGAATGTATTTTATATGACTTTGTGTTTCTCATATGTTTGATGTGGAGGCTTGATAGACATGCAGCTGGAAATAATTGCCCAAATAAAATATAGCATCAGAATTTCTCCCTTCATACAGATGGTTACAATATTCCTTTCTATTTGTGTACATTTGTTTGGCAAATGGAGAAATTCCAGCTATCCTTTTCCAATAAAATATTATTGTGGGTGATTAATTGCTCTAGTTCTATGGAAGCAGCAGTTATAATTTCGTTAAAAGACTCGGTATTTTAGTTAGTTGCAGGCTCGCTAACAAGATGTAAAGCTTTCCTTAAACATTTCCAGAAATTAGTATCTGATAAATATGTTTTTGCAGTTAAATGGAAATGTTGAGCTGGCTTAGATTGCAGGAAGATAATGGAAAATGAAACTGACTGGCAAATCAAACAATTCTATTTGGGTATTCAAAAGTCTATTGCTTTTCATCAGATTCAGCAAGATTAATGTTGGCTGATTTCAGAATTCCCTTTGATACTGTATTTCTGTGATCTCTTCTACTCATAGAAGGCCATCAATAGCGTAGTTATTTTAAACAAGCCATGAAATATAAAGTATTTGAACAAATGATGATAATGCTGAAATAAATCAATAGTTACAGGATGATAGGAAGGATGTCTGTTATCTTTGGTTGCAGTTTCTGGTAACGACTGTTCCTCAGACATTTTCCTTATCACTTCATTGGAATGATCTCATGAGTTCTCCATGTCACTCATTATATTGATTGCCAAGGTGCAGAAACAAAACACAGGAAAGATATAATCTTCCGAGAGTCACTTTGACTTCCACATCAACTGTTGATGTTTCCAAAACAAATCCATTGGAAATAAAGGATTGTATCAGCAATTAGATTTTGAATAGACATTTTCTTTTAAAACTGCAGTGACTCCCAAGTTATTATTGTTTGTATAAATAATGATACAATAATCTTTGATTTTGATATAGGGCTGTCATGTTATTGGGACATTTTAAAGTGCTTCTGTAATAAGAGTATATAGTAAATGGGAGTAAACAAAACCTAGCTCTTAAAAAGAAGTGTAACTACCATCCATCAGAAACAATACTCTTCGAACTTTAGGGCTAAGAATTGATTGCAAGAGGTAGCTTTTGAGTTCCTTTCTATGTATGGGGAACATTTAGCGATTTGAAATCTGTGCAATATTTTAGCTACTATCTTTTCAATTATATTAGTTGTACTGTCCTAAATTCCTAGCAAGCTGAGTCACATCAAGTGAATTTGGCAACTTTGGCAACTCACTCTGATCCACAAACAAGAGGCTCATGAGAGGTTCACTGAAAGAGAGAGGTTCACGCTTGACTCAAATGAATTCTGAGTCCGAGCTTGCCTTTCCTTTGAAGCTAGAGTTGTCCACATATGGGATAAACACACTGGGAGCCGTGGGACTCACATTCATACATTATTGATTGAAAGTTTTTGGCCTGGCTGCAGTCTGCAGATTGGTGTGTTAGCACATGAGCATTTGATGGGACTCCATACTTGCAATTCACTGGTAAAATCCATCAATTAATTTCAGTTGTTTTGGGCCTCTAAACTCCAGGGGCTTTTCTGCTGTCAGGAAGGAGAATGGCTCAATATAGAACAATCAATTGCTGCGCAAGGCTGCTCCGCTAAGTAATTCTGCATAATTTAGCATTTTCTGCTTTGGGGAATAGTCTTCATTGAATATTCTTGTAGGTATATAGAAGTCAGTAACTTGTTCATTCTTTCCAAACTCTTTTGAATTAATTTAGTTAATTTTTACCCAAATACAATAAAATTGCATGGGTTAGGTTTTTAGCAATAGCACGAACAATATAAAATAAGTGCCGCAATAATCTATTAATCACAGCGGGTACTTCACACATCTATAAGATTTCTCCAGTAGTAAATCTGGTGGTTACGATGGAAAATTAAATTTTCTTTTCATTACAAGAGTTGGAATCTCTTTGAACAGGACAAAAACATGCAGAAACAAAATGCCTGAAGTCCTACAGCTCAGTGGTTAGAGCACTCGCCTCACAAGCGAGAGACCTGTGTTCAGTTCCCGGCAGGGTGAAACCTTGGACAAGTTTCCTTACTCCACACGCCTGATAATAATCCCTCAAGAAAAAGAAACAATAATACATTGATCACTTCAATCCACGACTGTTTGTGGGACACTGCTGTGGGCAATTGTCTGCCGCCTTTCGCCCACAAAAAAATACAGTCAATTCACTTTACTGTATATTCTGTGAAGTGCTCTGAGACGTCTAGAAGACGTGAAAAGCACTATACCAAATGCAAGGATTATTATTATTAAAAGGCCGAAACTATAGCTCTACAAAATTGAAGTTGTGCTCTCCTCCCAAGCCATGCCATGAATCAGAAAGGTTGACCCTGTGTATCCTGTTTGCCAGGGAAACTTTCCAAGACAAGTTATAAGGCAGAACTCAGCAATTGTGGACACATTAAAGCAAAATAGTGACTCAGAATTGTAATTTAGATGGCTTTGATCATTTTGATCAAAGCACTCCTCAAAAAAATAAAAGAATGTGGGATTTTGGTTAGGAAAGAGAAAGGTATTAAAAGAATATGCTGCAAGGTAAGTGTACTGTGTAACACTGAGTGACTATATGTTGAGTGAGCGCTGGTTGAGGTGCCAGTTTCAATGACAGTGTCCTGATTTTCAATCGCCAGTTTCGCAGTAAGTCATTACACTGTGCACTGAGCTGTGACAGGACTGTCTCTGGAAATAGACCACAGAAACAAGATGTGACATTATACCATCTCCTTTTGTAGGGTACATCAGGCTGAAATAAGATAAAATGGCATTGCCTAACCTACACCCCTTCTCCAATGATTCTGCTAATGATAACTGTTCCTATGAGGGTCTGATTTGCTCTCAGTGTGTTGAAACCAAATCAAGATTTTTACCATTTGTAAGTCATATGCTCCCCTAGTTTATGGAAATAAATTCATATTAGAAAGAGCTCATTGTTATGTTTGGGCATTTAACATTGTGATTATGTGTTTGATTGATGAAGCTTCTTAAAGGGATTCTTAGAACTATAGAACTTTACGGCACAGAAGATTGTGTCTGTGCTGAAAGTTCAATCCCTTCAGTCCCATTTACATGCCTTTTCCCCATACCCCTGTAAATTATTCTTTTTTTTAGATATATATCTACTTCCATCTTGAAAACTAATATGGATCCTCTCACAAACATCACACTGTCCAGGGCATTCCACTTCCTAACAATAATAACTTGCATTTATACAGTGCCCTTCAT